CCCCAAAACCCCAAAACCCCAAAACCCCAAAGCTCACCGATACCCATGGCAATAATAATATTTATTAAAAGTAAGAGGTAAGAACATGGTAGTTTTAGCCTTTTATAGCCCAAAGATAGCATTTTAGTATCTTAGATATTCCCTATCAACTCATAAGTTGTAAGTAAAAGATGTTACAGATATTTTCTTATCTATTTTAGTAATTTTAAACCAGCCTACGCTGTCCAAGAGCTTGTTTGAGAAGATATTATGATTGAAGAGTATAAGTTAGATGAAAGCTATATCTATTCTCAGATAGTTCATTTCTTAGTACCACTGCTTTAGAGCACTTGAAATATTCTACTCTACAAAATTGTCCAATAGTATTCTTATTTACTGCCTCTAGTCTCACATCTAAACTTTGAATAAATTGCACAAGAGAGTTATTAGATTTAGATAATGTATTTGAAATTAATTCGTGTACTCAAAGTTTTCTAAAGAAACAAAATTCATAGGCAACTGAACTGGTGAAAGTTTCTAAAAATAGAGCTTATCACTCCAAGGCAATGCCTACTCATTGAAAGTATATCAACTTTTGACTCTTACTAATCCGCAATAAATTTTCCGTTTTGCTTTGCTTATAGTTCAGCTCTCAATACTAGGGACTTCTTGAAGGTAATAATGGACGGCAACTATAAGTATCATAATCATAAACATAAGCTAATAGTGCTATAAGAGGATTACTCGTATCTAAAGGGAAGTCCCTCTTGCTGGAACTCCTCTCTGAATAATTGCCATAGTATTCATCAAAGCCAAGAATTATTCATAAGTTGTGAAGTCCTATGGTTAGCGATATTAGTAAACATCTTCATGTACTTAGTTAGAAGCCATTGTCTTGGCATATTTGGCAGAGTTTAAACCCTTGATTAGTGATCAATAGTTCAACTTCTCTTCCAGAATGTATGGGCACTATAGATCCTCGGCATCTTGAGATATTTGGGTGATTAATTTTAATGTAGAATGGAAAATAGCCACAAATTTTGCACAAAGAGTGATGGTAAGAGATGAGAAGCTCAGTTCATGCAGGATGTAAGTCTTTTTATATTAGTTTCATACTTAAATTTATTTGAAATTTGGGTTACTTCTCTATACTCTAAATTATATAGGCACCTTCATATCTTCCAGCGAGATTAAAGAAAAAGGGAAGATGGACTCACGCTGAACATGCCCAGTTTATTGATTGTACATTCGATCTAAAATTTAGGTTTGAAGAAATATGGTAAAGACTGGGAAAAACTAGATGAGATGGTAGTACTTCTTTTTCATTTTACAGATCATCACCAGAGACAGTCTGCAGATCAGATCTCACAGCCAGAAATACTTCAATAGGATCAAGCAAGACTTCAACACAGATGACCCAATAGAGTATATTCGTAAAGGAATGTGAGACGTATCTCCATTTTACAAGTTTGATAAGTCTAAGTTTAGCGAAGCTCTCATGCAGCCTGAAGTTACTGAAAACAGACAATCTAAAATTCTTCAAGAATCTTTGGTAGAGAAGCAAATCAGCTACCACTGAGATGAAGCACCAATCAAGAGTCTTAAAACAAAAAATATCACCAAAAACTGCGAAAATAGGCACAAAAAGAGACACCTGAAGCAGCAGATAAAATACTTTGGAGATTCAAGCTCTTCAGAATTCTTTGAAGATAAAGCTATAAACAGCTATAAGAAATCTAGGTTCCGCCAAGTGAGCTTATCAGGATTGAAGGAACATGCTAGGAGGGTCCATAGAAAACACAAAAAGGCTCAGAAACACTTTAGTGATGCCCACCCAGGGTTTGACAAAATCTCCTTTGTTAAGAAAGCTATTGAGCTGAGTACTTGTGCCTCGAAACAATACGCTTCGAAAGAGCTATCACAATGTACAACTAAAGCTCAACAAAAGAATGGGATAATTGGAGTCCGTAAAAGAGGAAAAGAGGTAAATACTTCATATAGAATTGATGATTCATGAAGAAACATCTTTTCCATGGGTTTCAGCCACTCTAATGAAATGGCTGCCAATTCTATGACCAAAGTACACTCAAAGCATCAAGTTAAGAGAGAATACATAAACACTCTTGGAGGCTCAAATCTGTCATATTTTCAGCCTTTACCTACAACCCAGAAATATTGCTCAAACCAAGGTAGATTTGTGTCAGGGAACTTTCAGACTCAGGCTCTAATGGAGCATCACAATAAAGTAAAGCCAACAATCAACCCTCAGTATTCTTGGAAGAATGGAAAGCCAAACCAACAGAGTATGCAATCAGTAGAAACTTCTCTATCTCAGTTATTGATGAAAAGTTTCCAGGATAACTACTGTGTCTGTAAGAAATAGGCTGGACGAGAGGCGATTTTCAGCATGGATAACATTTTCCAACAAAGATAAATAACAAAAGCTAATTCCTCAATAATTTTATCTAATCGTGTTGTCCAAAAATTCAGGATACATCTTTGGGTGGATGTTAAACTATGTCTACTATCTTTTTATTAAATAATAGGTGAAACAGATTCAGTGCTATCATTTAAATACCTTGTTAGCACAGGAATTTCCCCTATAAAACCGGCTTATGTTGTTTACACCTATTTCTTAAAATATCAGGGTTTCTGAAATCCTTCAGAATTAGTGTGTGATTTTCAAGAATTTAATTTAATTTTGCATCCAATAGTATACTAAATGTCCCAAATAAAATACAAAAGAATGCCGCTATTGTATCAACCAAAAGACCTGAGTTAATTCTTTATCATTTTAAGCCCTAAAAAACCTTAAAAACAATTATAAAATTCAATAGTACCTTTAACACTGGGGTTTTGGGGTTTTGGGGTTTTGGGGTTTTGGGGTTTTGGGG